TCACTACTTTGTGTGTTTTATTGTCCTCTTTCAAATAATTGTTCAAGATACAAAAGTGGACCATATAAATGGGAATTCAAACAGGGAGACTTCAAATAGTTCTGTTCAACTATCTAATAAAAACTAAGTAATATGGCAATCAATCCTATACACTTAAACATGTATGTATTTATCCATATCTTCATATATGTTGAGTTTAAACAAACCAAAACAGATTAAAATCACTGTAGTTGAAGATTAATAGTATTGCTTGATTTCATATCATGACACGATGGAACCAGCACTGGGTACTGTAGTCCCCTTTTTTCTCCTTCAAAGTATTTGTTCATTTCATCATGTATCATAAAATCAGTTCTTCTAAATTATTGATAGGTTTTATGGAAGCATGCATCTTAACATGTGTTACTATCCTTTCTATATTAGAGGGAGAACCAGAACAAAGCAGGACAGAGCAAAACATAATCCTAGAGATACATAAAACTAAAAAGACATATAAAACTGCTGTACAAGGAGTTCTACCATGGTTACTGTGTTGTCTCTTGTTATCATCAATAAAAATGGCTATATCATCGGATAAAGTATAATTGAATATATCACTGCATAACAGTATTAACAGAAATAGAACTTTGTAGATAGTGTAGAGCTACTAAAACAGATATTAATCAAGTCAGAATGGGTATTATAGAGAATCATTTCTATTTTCAGTATAGTTGTCTACACTCTGACGATACTATCAACCTAACGGTTTTGAATAAAATAGTCAATAACAAGAAGCAATCAAACAAATCAGATTTAAATAAGTTCAGTAATGATATAACAGGATAAGTTATAGAGGAATCTGGTTTAAGTTAACAGGAAATTAAAGATGATTACTGTGGTATATCCTCATATTTTTGGGACAGCTGTCTGTGCCCTCAGATTTAGTGCTTGTATAAAAACTGGGATGGAATAAGTTCTATCTAAACAGAGTGGTACAAGTAATATGGGTTTTAATTCCTGATACACTTATAGCAATATCTTCTTCTGTCTTTTTAAAGTCTATTCTTCCCCTTCACTCCCCCAGGGTGTACTGTGTATTTTTGGGTCTCCCCAACACCCTTGGTTTTATATTGTGTGGGCAACCAGCTATTTATCTAAGTGTTTCTGAACTTTCTCACTCCAGGACTTGATCTCTAGTTATATTTCTTTACTTATTAAAGCCTTTCTTTCCAACCTACCCATAAATACTGATCCCGTTGCCCCTATTACTCTCTCTTTCCCTATCACATCGAGTTCTATTTTCTCATATTCAATTTTGGTCCAAATAGCCTTCTTCAGGTCAATTATACTTCCTATAAAGAGCATCTCAGTTGGCCCCATTTCTTGATCCACTCTGCCTGTGATTCTCTCTTTTTTTCCTTAATTTAGTGTATATAGGACATCTGCATTAGAAATTATATCCAACCTTCTCTGTCTCATTTCTGTTGTTATATTTTTCTGTCATCAGTTGTCTATTTGTCTTCTTCACTTTGCTTTTTGCTCCATTCATTGTGGCCTCTCTACCACTGTTCCTGATATCTTGGTGATTTTCTCTCTCTTTAGAACGTCCTATAGTATTCTCTGTAGGGTTGGATTGGTGGTTGTGAATTCTCCCAGTTCCTCTTAATCTTGGAAGCATCTTATTTCTCCATTAATTTCTAGGAAAACTTTTCAGGATACATCAATCTGGGCCATAGGTTATTTTCTTTCAGGACTTGGAATGATTCACTCCATTTTCTTCTCAATTTGATGGTTTGTGCCAAGAAGTCTGATGTAATTCTGATGGACTTTCCCTTATAGACGGTCTGTTTCTTGTCTCTGACAGCTTTTAATATTCTGTTCTTATATTGGATTTCTGGTATCTTGATTATTATATGCCTATGTGTAGTTCTGTTTTGGTTTAGGTGGCTGGAGTTCTGTATGCCTCATACAGCTGAGAATCTTTTCCTATGCTTGGGATGTTTTCCTTATTTTTGTGAATAGAATTTGTAGTTCCTTTGTTTGTACTCCTGCTTCTTCATTCACATTCGTTATTCTTAAGTTATACATCTTTTTGTCATCATCTAGCATTTGTATTGTTACTACTTGTTTCCTTGTTATATTTAAGAAATTTTTCCTTTCATGATCCTACAGTGCAAACCTGTCCTCTAGTTTGGATAATCTACCCTAGTTTCTGGCAATTAATTTTGCCAGCTTGCAAAGGAGTTTTTAAATTCATGGTTCTCTCTTTGAACCAGCTTCCTTTCTTCTAACTTTTCTCTATTTTCCTCATGAAACAATTCTCCCCTTTTTTTGTTTTCTTCCCTTTTTCCATGTTTTTTTCTTGAGAGGTGCTTAGCATTTCTTAAATTATTCTATTTGTATCTTGCTTTACTCGGTTAAATACTTCACCTTTCAAATTATCTATGCATTCTGAAGATATTGCTGTATGTCTACTGGGGCCATGTCTGATATTGCATGTTTGCTGTCCTCATTCTGCTTTGCATTTACAGTTCCTGGATCCATGCTCTCATGATTGGGGAATGGGAACCCTTTCTTGTTGCTTCCTCTTATTATTTTTTGTTCCTTCCATACAGGTGTATACGGGAGGTCCAGTTTCTTTGTTTGTTGGTTATAGTTTGTCTGAAGTGCTGATTGTATGTCCCCCCCCCCAGTGCAGTGTACCATGTGGATACAGACCAGGGAAGCCTATGCTGGGCCCGCCCCCTCTGGATTAATCAGCCTGCTGAAGGCTTCACTGCATTAGTGCATTGGAACTGGTATGGGCTAGCCTATTGGTTTCAGCCTGAGGCATGACACAGGTCAGGTAATCCCCATCAATCCCACTTGAGAAGGGAGAACCTGACCGAAGTCACTTCAGCCCCTTGTTCTGGCCAATTTGCCCTGTCCCAGAATGTCATCTTTTGGAGGCTCTATGGAAGGTGTTTATTCCCGTCATTCACCACAGGTCAATGCAGGGTACCCTGCCAGCTAAGCTTGTCAGTTAAGATCACCGACTCCCATCCTCAATGCAAATGCATCTCCAGTGAGATGAAACTGATGAGCTTTTGTGTAGTTCCATAAATCTTGGCTGCATGAGATCAAGTGTAGGAGTGGCAGCAAGTTCAAGTGGCAGCACCAAGACTGTAGCTTTTTCAGTAGAAGCACTGGGACTGTTTTTTTTAAATGGTTTCTCTCAGCTTAATTCTTTCCAGGCTTGGGAGGGTCTATCTCCCTCTGCCTGGGTCTCACTATGCTGTACTATTTTTGAAATCTAAGGTGACATCTCACAGAATCTCTGTAGCCTGGTGTTACCTATCCACCATCTTTTCTCCTCCAGGACTTTGTTTCTTCATCCTAATCATAAATTTCTAAATAATGAGACTATAAATGAGTGATGAAGAACAACATATTGCATTCATATACCCAGTCTTTGTGACATTTTGAGCAGCTGGCAAACAATGTGAAACCATGCTTCATAAATTCACAACCCAAACATATCTTTGATCAAACAATGCAAACTTGGAAAAAGAGAAAAGTTACTGAGCTTAAAATGAAAGGAACAGCTGTTCACAGAGTGCACAAATGGACAAACAGACAGATGATTAGTGTGGATTCAAACAAACACAGAAATCAGCACACAACTTGTCGGGGTCTGTGAGAATATTTAAGTTCCCCAAAGGCCATTTATGTACTTGTACCATGCCTCTTTGTTAAACTAGCTGCCCTCTTAAACCCCATGCTTTTTGTCTCATTGATCTATCTCTAACAGTGGGGTGTTAAGGTCTCCTATTTCAATTATATACTTGTGTTTGGTTTTTCATGTCCATTAGTATTTGTCTCATATAGCTGGGTGCTCCTGTATTTGATGCATATATATTTGTAATTCTTCCTCTTATAGTTTCTCACTTACACATATGTAGTGGCCTTCTTTATCTCCTTTAAACATTTTAGGTTTAAAGTTCACATTTTCTGCAAACAGAATAGCTATCCTGCTTTTTTCTGGGTTCCTGTTTCATGGAAAACTGCTTTCCATCTTTTGTCTTTTAACCTATGAAGTTTTTTTTTTTTTTAGTAAAATGTGTTTCTTGTATACAGCATATTGTGGGTTCCTATTTCTTGATCCATTCTGTCAACCTGTTTCTTTTTATAGGTGAGTTGTGCCCATTTACCTTTTTAGATATCACTGATATGTACTTACTTGACTTTGCCATGTTGTATTCCTGTCGTTGATTTCCTGCTTTTCTCCCTTGTTCAATTTCTTGCCGAGCCTGGTCATTTCTTTCTGTTGTTCTGGAGATTGTGGTCATTTTTATCCCCATCTAGCATGTCTTTCAATAATCTTTCGAGGGTTGGTTTGTTGGACATGAATTTCTTCAGTTGTTCTTTCTCATTGAAGTATCTTGTTTCTCCATTAAATTTGAAAGACACTTTTTCTGGGTACATCGGTCTAAGTTGAAAGTTGTTTTCTTTTAGGGCTTGAAATTTTTCACACCAAACTCATCTTAACCTGAAGGTTTGTGCTGAAAAGTTTGCCTTAATAGTAATCATAGTCTTTCCTGGACAGGTGAGTTGTGTCTTTTCTCTAACAGTTTTACTATTCTGTTTTTATGCTGTATGTCTGGGATCTTAATTATTATATGTTTGAGCATAGACTTATGTTTGTTGTGACTGTTTGGCACTTTGTGTGGCTCTTATTTGTATATCAGAATTTTCCTCATGTTTGGAAATTTTTCTGTTTTTATTTATGTGAATCGCTTAGTTATATCATTTGCATTGACTCATGCATTTTCACTGATGTCTATTAGTCTTACATTGCTTCTCTTGGCATCATGTTGAAGCTTCTGGATTGTCATTTCATGATGCTTTGTTATTTTTATATGTTCTACACATTCATGATCACTCCCTGCAATACTGTCCTCAAATTATGAAATTCTATCCTCAGCTTCATTTAAATGGTTTTGCCAGCTTTCAGTATATTTTTTTTGTTTCTTGACTATATCTTTACATATGTTTCATAGATTCTGCTTGTTTTCTACATTGTTCATTCATAGTTTCAATTTACCATGCTCCTGTATTTTTGTTTTATATATCTCTTCTCTAGCTATGTTGAGCAACTAGTTTACTATAGTTGTTATTTCTTTACATGAGAAATTATTTCTAGTTCAATTTCCTCTGTAGCCTCATGGATTTGTTTCTTTACTTCATTTTCTATCTTTTGAGGTTTCTGATTTATGACTTTTAAAGTCCTCTATTTCAATGTAGGTTGGTCTTGCTCCTGATGGACTAGATGTTTGAGATCGCATTTTGCCTTTTCTTTTTGTCATTTTCCAATAGGTATAACACCCATGGTGGGACTGTTTCACTCACATTTTGCTTTAACTCTTTCGGCTGCTCCCATATTCCAAAGCTGTCTAGATTGTACATATGTATTATGGGTAGAGAGGAGAGTCCCCTGAATCCCTCTCCTTGGACTAGGGGCTCCTCCACCTCCATCTTCTGTCAAGTAGTAGGCCTGTCATGCAATACCAAGGAACTCTCACAGGGACTGTCCTAGTCATGGGGCCTTAACTTCAGGAGAGGTCAGCACTCCCTCGGTCATGCAGTGTGACTTCCACAGGAGCCAGCTGTGATTCCAAGTCCTCCATGGGATTCACAAGTCTATCACTTCTAAGGCCTTCAACATGCCCTTGGCAGTCACATGAACCCTTCCCAGTTTCTACATGCCTCCTATCATTGTCAATTATCAGGTAAGTGAATATTCATTCCACAAGAGAAACCCTGTTTTTGTTTTGAAGAGCACAAAAGCAGACTTTCTTTTTTTCAGCAAAACACACTGGTATTCGTGAGGAGGTGCACAAAGGAAATTTCTTCTCTCTTGCTTGTGGTAAATTCACTTCAGATATCATTTTGACAGTTAATTTCACATTAACTCATCTGACTATCTTAGGATTCTGTACATACAATCCTCTCTATGTCATGAAGAGAATTTTATAAGATATTCATATGAACTTTGTTTCCAACAACTGAAAACTGAAATGTGAATATCCAATAACATTTGAATGAATAAAAAAAAACACAGAAAACCATGAAGTCAGAACCTACGAAAGAAAATCCATAGGAAAACACTGTACAGCAATCTCACTGTACATAATCCTTAATGATTATGATTGATGAAAGAAGGCAGAGAGGTCAAATTCTATCCAGTCATTACATACATTTGGAAAATGTGACAAGACATGTGTGATAGAAGACAGGTCAGTTCATATAAGAGATAAACTCTGTTCTCTCAGAGTTGCTGGGTATCAGGAATCCAAGAGGCTTTGCTGGGTCTGTTACCATCATATCTCTGTAAAGACAGGCTCAGGGGAGATGGCACTAGGGCATAACTTGCTCTCAGGGTCTGTCCCTTGCTTACAGGCAGGACCCAAGGCAAAAGCCTGGTGCCTTTTGGACTGTTTTCCCTTTTCTCACTCAAAGCTCATCAGGCTCTCCTCTTGCAAGCTTCAGAGATAGCAGTGGCTTCCCCACAGCGAGAGATCCAGAGAGAGAGAAAAATAAATACTAAAATGTAAGAGAGAACATAAGAGGGAAAGAACAGAAGATGGGTCACAGTTATTTTAATGCTTGAACCTTAGTATTTGCATCACATGATGTCTGGCATATTCAGTTATTTAAGAGTGAGTCAAGAGCTGGGGAGAGAGCTCAGTATAGAGTACTTGGTTACCATGCATGAGGCCCTGGGCTCAATTTCAACACTGCTAATGCAAAATAACAACACTAATAATAATAATAATAATAATAATAATAATAATAATTCACTAAGTGAGGCCCATAATGTAGGGAATGGGCTACTCAGCTTTTGGCATCAGAAGGTCATCTGTCAGCTATTGAGTAGGAGTCAGACCATGGGAGTGCTAATTCACACAGGTGTGAATGTAGAAGCAATGCCAGAAGATTTGGGGGTTCAACTCCATCCATAGTGCTGGCATAGCCTGTGTGAGGTCCTGACTCGAGGCCATAGCACCAGTACGTAGAACAAATTGTGATGCTTAGGGAACATAAAGATGATTGAATTGAAGAACTTCTGCCCCCTCACGATGCCACCAAGGAATATGTCCAGGAGGTCAGTGTCATTTCTACCACCAGGCAGCACTGTATTCCACGTTCATCGCACCGGTTCCTGGATTTAACCTCTAATTCTGTACACTATGTACACAAGACACTAGCCAACAGGCATTACAATTGTCATCTCAGACTGGTGAAAATATCCCTAGGAAGTAGATGCCAGGATGACCTCTATATTGCATGGGGACACTCCGTGAAAGACCTGAGGCATGGTGTCTTGTCTAGGTTTATGGAGGAAGTCAGGAGGAGGATTTGAATCTTTCTCCTCAGAGCTGTGACACTGTGAGCACTGCTGGTTTTTCTTAGCCTTGGGGAAGCCTTGCCTCCTATCATGGATCTGTCACGTGGGTGAAGCTGTTATCTTTATTGTGAAGGACACTGGAGAGTCATTCCATGGGCTTCCAAGGTATCCACAGTAAGAATCTCTGGAGGATACCATAGGACACAGGTTCACACAGACATCATAAAAAGAGCTGGTGAGTGCATTTAACCACCAATTTACTAGGCTATGACCCTAATGCAATGGCCAGAGCAAATTTAGCCACTGTTCTCTTGTGATTCCATGTTATCCAGGACACAAGTCCCTCTAAAGAACAGATCAGGTACTACCCACATTACTGTGAATGTGCCTAACTTCCTGGCCTCTGCATATGTGAACACATAATAGAGGAATAGGTGTCCCCAGAAGACACACATAATGGAATGATGCATCACTATATGAACTGAAGAGGAAGGAATGGCAGGCAGAACACACTCCTTCTGACCACTCACTTCACAGATATTTGCAGTGCACCAACCCTGTAGAGTAAGCACAAGTAGAGCAACACTGCAGACACCATTCTCTTTCTCACAGAGACAACACCACGAGGGTGAGAAAGGAAGATGGATTTCATGCTTTCCTAAAGAAAGGAGCACGGTGGTCACAGCACTTTTAGGGACTAATATCAGCGGGGTAAGTCTTCTTGGACCAGCACTGTCCCATTCAAGGCAGAGAGAAGGCTGGGCTGGGCTCTCTGCAACTGGAGCAGAATGCTGGTGTCCAATTCTACAAGATGTCCCAGCTGAATTGGATCAACCTGAGCTCACTGAAACTAAGCACTGCGTTCAGAAGATTTTGGCTTTGGCCTGTGGGCCTCTCATGAGTGCATGGGACACTTGACAAGGAGAAAGACTGCCAGTCTTGGGACCTCAAGCAACCCTGAGGCATGCAGAAATGAGTTGGTCAAAGCTGAATGAGAAACTTTGCTGGGGTGGATTTGTGCACAGATTTGTCTGTGACAGGCACTGGGAAGTTCTGGGCCCTGCAAGGAGCAAGGACAGTTGGTGATTGTTCTCCTGCTGACGCATGGCTGGTACATGAATAACTTCAAGTCCCAATTCCACAGCTTTGGTCATCCACACCTCCAGTGACCTCACCAGCTCTGGGATCAAAGTGAAAACTAGGGTCAGGCACCCACTCTTAAGGAATTCCATAACTGGCACTTTTACTCACGCCATGACAGGTGTCTTGAACTCCACTTAGGCCAAGTCCTGCAAACCACCTGCTTTTACCTTCCCATCCCCTTTTAACCCATCCCCTTGTATTTCTTTCAGTTTTGATTTTTACTCCTATCTCTATAATTATTCTCAACATCAAATTCTAAGGTAATTTTAATTAAAAGTGAAGATATCATGCATTTCAACATATTCAATTCAGTAGCACGTCATCACATCACCAATTTGTACAATTTCCACATCCATTGAGTTCCAGCACTCTGCTCAGTTTTGGACCATTCCATATTCTTGTACTCTCTTATTATTCCCCACTCACTCTGATTTTTTCACCCTGTGATTTAGTTCTCTGGGTCTTTAATATTCGTGCATCAGATTATGTTTGACCAAATATTCCTAGAGGAGACTGGCTGCTATTGCTCTTCGATAGAAGAGAAAATCCCGGGTAGACCAAAGTGTACAGATAAAATGTGAAGACTATTGTTTATCTACTCATCTTTTCATGTTGGAAAAGCTTTCCCATGATTTCAGTGGTACAAGGGACAGAGAAAGATCTGATTCTTTACATTTGAAAAACAGAACCAAGAATAATGTAGAATCCACAATAAGAAATCTTTGCTTACAAGCAGCAGGCAGATAAATAGTTTGTATTAGAAGTGACAAAGAGGTGTAATGAGTTCATTCTGTGAGAAATGAAAAATTCTTGTAATTCAAAAGAGAATCACCACATGTAAACAAATGTAGAAAATGCTGAGCTTCCCAAAGCTGATTCATGCAAGCACACATCCCTGACATTTGCTGTGTCCCATCTGATGGTGGGTTTTAAGGCAAGTGCTGAACATCACTGGGGAGAACATGGTGTGCAGAGAAGAGCCCTGTCCAGTAGCTCCCATCACAGCTCTACACAGGTGTCCCTGGACCTTACAGTGCTCACAATAGAGATTTATCCCACACAGAGATCCGCATAACTTTTCAAGCTTTGTGTTTAAGACTGTGGTTCACAGCACTATTTGAAGCAGGAAGACACTGGCAGCCTTGCTTGCTATACTCCACATGGAGTGTTCAAGGCATTAGAGTGGGTCACGAGAACCAGGGAAAGCTGTGGGGATGCTGAGTTCAGTCTCTCTGGGCCCACAAGGAAAGAGGAAAAGGAATCTGATCATGAAGTAATACACTATTAAGAGAAGGATGTGTGCATGGAGGATCTTGGTTTTGAAAATGAAATGTCTCTGACATCAATGTGTGTCCACATACAGACATGTGAGAGTCTATGCCCAAGATTGGTGTCTCAGAAGTTTACTTACTTATGCAAACCCTGACTCAAAATAAAAAAGAAATTTGAAATCAGAATTTACTGTAGTTCAGTGCAAGGGCCTGCATTCAATTCCCTGAATTGAGTTAAGGAAAAAAATTGGGAGCAAGCTGAAGGGCTACAAAGCACTATCACCTGGTCTTTCTGGAGAGCAGTGTGCCCCAAGCAGCTTGAGCCTCCACATCTTTCTTGGTCACTTTGATTTTAAAGAATGATCAGTTCCATGAGGGATGGGGAAAGGAGGGTTTTCATTCAAGAATACAAAGTCTCATTAACAATGGAGATGAAATTTTCAATGATTACTAAACTGCATGGTGACCACAGTTAATAAGAAGGATAGCTTTCAAAACTGCTAAACAATGGGATTTGCAGTTGTAGTCACTGTGAAAGTATTTGTAGGTTAGTAAGGTGGTAGACACATTAACTGGACTGATTCTTTCTACAAAGGAGCCATAGATCAAAAGCACATGTTACCCCACAAACATTCATAACTATTGTGAATTACCAAAGGAAGATATCCTATACCTGTACTCCCAGCACTCAGGGAGAGTAAGGAAGGAGGACCACAAGTTTAAACCCAACTTGGAGAGCTGAGTAAATTATTTAGAGATTGTGTCAAAAATTTAAAAAAACAACAACTTTTAAAGTGCATGGGCATATAGCTCATACAGAAATCCCTGGGATCATTGAACACAGTGTATTAACCATTATTCTGTTATGAAAAAAATTAATCTATTTATAAAATTGTTTTCATACTTTATTAATGTCTACGTGTGCTACATTGAAATAAAAAAGAAGAAAAAAATCGTTTGTTTGTTTTATTTTCCTTTGAGACAAGGTATTGCTATGTACTGCAGGCTGACCTTGACTCAACAAGTATTTCAGGCTAGCCTTGAACTCCCTGTGATCCTCGTGTCTATTCGTCCCATGTGCTGGGATTACAGGCATGCACCACCATGCCTTGCAAGAAAGTGTTTTTTTTTTTAATTGTCAAGAGGATAAACCCTAATGAAATAAAACAGAATAGAGTCAATCAAAACAAAAGGATGATCATGGTACATCAGTTAAAAATAAAATCCAACAGTCGTTTGTGTGGCCTCTCAGCTGGTACAGAAAATGACTCAACAACTTGCTGAACTCCAAATTTCTCCATAGAATTGGGAAAATACCTAAATTTTGCAAGGTGTCTATTGTTAACATGTCTTCTCTGAGAAGCAATTCATATCAAGTACCAGGGAAAGAACACAGAACTTTGATTTACTACTTCCAATGTCTGGGATTTATCCCAAGAAAAAAAGATATATGCTCAATGCAGTTTTTCTAAGAGGAACTTGACTTGTGTACATGGTCAGTAACAGGATAACTAAGTAAAACTCTACCTAAGCATATATTATAAATATTCAACACTATGCAAATACACAAATGATGTGAGCAGAACTGGGGAGTATGGGTAGAGACAGCCGAATACTGACAAGATGGGTATTCTGCAGCAGGTTCAACAATGTGGGTGAATTTTTTTTTTTTTGTGGACTTAAATTTTTAAACTGCTGATCACACTTCCTCATCCCTCAAAGCCCCATGCCACATTCAGACTCCTCACAAAGCTTAAACACCCAAGAGGCGCCATTAAAACAAGCAGAAAGCCCTTATCAATGGAATGGACTGGAGACAAAGCATGTGCAGGTAGAATAATAACTGCTGTCTTAATTTAACATCTAGGTCTTCTCTCAGTCTGCAGGGAGGAGATCCAAGTGGAATAAAATCATCCTGTTGGGGTAAATGTCCGCGGCTCACTGACAGCAGAGGCCATGTGAGATTCTGAGCCTCCCTGCCACAGGTTCCAACCAGGGCTGGGCTCTCAACAGCACCTAGTGGGAGGGGGGAGGATCCCAGGCCCTGTGCCGGGCTGGCCATGCGGACCCCGACAGAGAGGAGGGTGGAAAGGAGAGCCCTGAACACCTTAGGCTAGGTCGCCCCAGTGCCGCGCCCGCAGCCTCCCCGGACCTCCCACCAAGGCACCTGCGCCGCTAAAGTCGGGGCCACCGGACCGCGCCGCCACTCAACACCCGCTGCCTTCCGCCTACGTGGCCAGACCCCAGTCCCAGCCCAGCCACAGCCTAGGCAGAGGAAGGAAGGAAGAGTGCTCAGGTCACCAGAAGGGGGCGCTAGCGGCATAATGGCCATTCCGTGCATCCCCTGTGAAGCGAGGCCGGGGGCGAGGCGGGACTGAGTGGGATGCGGATGCCAGTGGCTAGGAACCGTCCCTGGGCGCAGGCCGCCCAGGTTGGGCCGGGTGGAGTGTAATCTTCGCTGGCGGCCAGGGGGTGGGGCCAAGCGATGTGAGTGGCGGGGCCAGAAGCTGGGACCCAGGAGGTGCAGAGCCCTCCAGGAGGCAAGAATGAGGCGGTGGGCGTGGCAGTGGAGGTTAGGGTTTCGCTGATTCTGGGTGTGGCTTCAGGTGGAGCTTCTGGGAGACTGAGCCCCAGGCCTGCTGTGAGAGGAAGCAGAGGAGTGGACTGAGTCTGAGGCTTGGAATTTATAGATGTCTGGACTCAAATCTTCCTGGGACTGACACCTTAGGTACACTGCTTCTCTTCTGGGAGCCTCAATTTCCATTATTTTTATTCTATTATTTTGCTTTGAAATACTGCGTGGTTTTTTTCCATTACAAAAACAAACTGTGAAGAATGGCAACACTCATCTCTTGGCACTGTTGTGAAGATCCAATGAAAACCCTGCAGAGCTCTTCCCATGGTTCCTACCATATAGCAAGTGCTCAGATGCCATTGTTATTTGTGTTGTTGCCCTTCTTTTATTACAGAGAAATGAGTGCTTTCGGTATCCGTCGTCTGATGTCTTCATAACATAAATATATGTTTACATGTTAATATAACATACTAACAAGCATGTGTAACACTTACAGGTGTAAGGTCAGGGCCTCTCTGAAGTGCTTTACATATGTTAATTCTTACAAGAGTAGGGGTTAGGAATTATTTTCATTTTCATAGCTGTGTGAACGGAGACACCAACATTTAATACCTTTTCCAATGACAAACGTGTGGACAGAATTTTAACCCAGTGGGCCTCATACCAACACCTCCGTTAACTAACCCACACTTGGCACAGCACTGCTACAGTTCTGCTTTCGATTTTTCAAATCAGTGAGGCATCAAATTGTTCATGGGAGGTTGCACAGGTAGCTAGAGGCAGTTTGTGTCAGGGTTCACTAGAGGATCAGATTTAATTTGTGTGTGTGTGTGTGTGTGTGTGTGTGTGTGTGTGACACATAATGGATTTACAAAGTAGGATTAGAATGGCCTTCTGCAGAGTCACGGGGAAAACACAAAATGGCCATGTTCTCCTTGGAGATGCAGAAGAATTGGCTGAAGGTAACATGGACTGTTCGTGGACATTGGGTGAACATTTGTTGGCCTGCTTTGGGAACTCAGGAAAGATTTTCTGGGGTGAGGTCCCAAAGTCAGGGAATGTACATGTTCATATATCAGCAACAGTGGTAGTCAGTGTGGAGCAGAGCAGACAATCACTGTTTTTGTTGTATAATTCTTGCAGTTTGCTATCGCATATTTACATTCTTATATAGTGCTCTAAGCAGTCCATGGTGGCCAGGAAGCAGAGTAAAGGGATAGCACCAGGGAGGAAGAAGCCAGAGACCAGATGGAGTACCTAAAGTCATTTCTCCATGACCCATACAGATGAGCCCAGAAGTAAACTTTACTAATCCCTTGGACAGCTCTCAAGCCCATCAAGTTGACAATGAAGTCAATGATTACATAGCAGAAGTTCTGTGATGTTAAAATTATAGGTGATTTACATATGTGCATATATATATATATATATATATATAGTATTTTCAGTTTTTTCCATCTTTAAAATTCTACCCAATGTCAAAAAATAGTGAACCTTATGTAATAGAAATAAACTTTCCTTAGGTAAATTTTATAAAATGAACTGAAAAATAAATGAACAAGAGTTTATAAAGAACAGGGTTTAAAAATACTCACAAAAGAGCCAGAAATCTTTACTTTGCTTTGAACAACTACTTGAAAGACAGTTAAACAATTTCTGTGTTAAACAAGCAGGATCTGGAATATTCAACTGCACACTGAGTATCTTCCCCTTGGAAATCAGTGCTACAGCTATACAAACACAAGAATGACTACAGCAACTTTATTTTTGAGCTCAAAACTGGAAACACCAAAAAGGGCCTCAGCTGATGGACACATGAGGATCAGTGCTTCATCAACAGAGTGGGATGTAATGGCTCAGCCACTGACAAGGAGCAGTACGTGGGAAACCTAACATGGTTATGAGGATTTAATAAATCCTCCCAGCTCCCCCCAAAACAAAAACAAAAATCTTCTGCATCCTGTGTGGTTACTGACCTGTCACCTTTAGAAAATACAAAGTGTTTCCCAGAGACAAAAAGCAGACACATTGCTTAGGATTGAAGGAAGAAATTATAAGAAGCAATAAGGAAAATGTGAAGGTGACATATACATCACCACTTTGGTGACAATTTTCAAGGGGCTCATGTATGACAAGATTCCTAGAGGATTTTTTGTTTGTTTTTAGTTTTAGTTTTGTTTATTTTTGGTACCAGGAACCAAATTCAGGACCCTGTGCTTGCCAAGGAGCACTTTGCCACTGAACTATATCCCTGCCCCATGTCAAGTTTCATCCAATTTTGTATTTAAACCTGTAAGTTCATGGTATGTCAATTATAATGAAATAAAATTGCTTTTAAAACACTTCTCATCTGAGCTATCCACAAAAGCTTTATTTATTTATAGATTTACTAACAAGCAATTTTGTTTTTTATAGATGTATTTCTAAGCAGTATTATTTATAGATTATTTTATATGAAGTTTTGTTTATTTACAGATTTATTTAATTTTGCTGTGCTGAGATTGAATCCAGTGCCTTGGTACTTTTATCATAATTTATTCCCAGACAGGGCCTTGCTAAATTGCTAAGTTGTTTACATTGGGCTGGAATTTTATTACATTTGTTAGCATTTTTGTATACTTAAGTATAACAAAGGTAATTAAATTGAGTAATCTCAAGTGAATCAATAAATACAGCTTAACAAACAATAGCTGGGTGTGATGTTATATGCATGTAATCCTGGCACTTAGGGAGCTCAGACAGGAGGATTGTTGCAAGTTCTAGGTCAGCCTAATTTACATAGTGAATTGAAGGCCAGCATGAACTACGCAGTAAGAGTCTTAAAAAATAAATTAATAAAATAAAATAAGATAAACCCTGGACTAAGTCAAGGAATTATCTTCTAGTCCAAAGCATGGGCATCTTCAGAGGATTTACTTTAGAAGGTGTTATGGTTTGTATCTGGGTGTCCCCACCAAAGCCTCATGAAGTCACAGAGGCAGCTAAACCTAGCATCTGTGATTGGTTCATTGTTTAGTGCTGTGATTGATGATGAAATAGCCTCACCTTCCCAGGGTTTGAATTACCCAAGTAAAAGAGGTCTCACCAGTCCATTTTGTGAGAGAAGTGAGAAAGTCTTATAATTCAAAAGGAAATCACCACCTGTGGCCAAAAGGTGCAGAAAACATTCAGCCTCCCAAAGTTGATTCACGCAGGCACAAATCACTGAGATGTGCTGTGTCCCATCCAATGGCACATTTTAAGGCAGGAGCTGAACAGCAGTGGAGAGAACATGGGGGACAGAGAAGAGTCCTGTCCTGTAGCTCCCATCACAGCTGTATATGGAACCATCCTTAGACCTCACAGGACTAAGAAGACAGGTTTCTCCAACACAAAATGCAACACAAATTTTCAAGATTTCTTTTAAAGAGATTGATTCACAGTACTGTTTGAAGCAGAAAGGAACTTAGACCGTCCCTAGCCTTCACATAGACCATGCACAGGAGAGCTGTTTGGAGAATGCCGTGAATGATTGTTGGAGGGAACTCTTCCCAGGGCCATAGAGGTGCAGGTCTAGGGGTGAAAAACTCATAGCACAGCAAGGTTTTTCATGTGCTAACCAGTGCGATGGGAGTCTACACAGCAAACCAGTGTTTTCCGACAACAGGGACAACACCGAGCAAGGGAATTTGGATGCCAGAGTGGCCAATCAGGTGAGGGGTAGCCCTGAATGACATAGCTGAGCAGAGTAATCCTCTGGAGCTGAACCCCCAGCAGGTCCACCTCACTTCCTTTTCAGGTCTGTCAGCAATGACATCACACAGAAGCACGGCAACACAATTGAAGTTTGCTCAAACTAAATCATTTAGCTTCTTTTGAAGAAATGATTGAAAATGTACAAGTCTGAGAAAAACAAGGCTGAGAACAGCATTCTGCATGTTGTGTAAATAAACTGATCCTTTACAAGTCATGGAAATAATACCTGTGGGTGAGTCTGCAATGGCAGAGGTGTGAAAAGTCATGCATGCAGGTTTCACAATTGCAAAAGAATGACTCCAAATAAATGCTACATGGACATGACTTCCCTTTGGCACTGCACTACAACAACCTAGATTTACTGATCCACCTCAGTAAACCCACGGCAAAACCCAACAGACGATTCCATCATCCAAATGTGAGGGTTCAGGAGCTCTGCTCCCTGCTTGATGCGGCTGCTGGTTGACAATTTCAAGGTGTTTCTATCTGCACAAGCCATCTCTGCTCCTCTCAGCTCATGATTGCCTTGGTGTGGATCAGACTATATCTTTACATAAAATCCCATCATGATTTCAGGATGGTAGCAGTCTCTTGTTTACTGGAAATTATTTTTGAAGTTTGGGTGTAAGAGTCCTTAGACCATGTGCTTAGCAAGTTGAGGGGAAATGAGATTGTTTGAAGTAAATGTAGGAAACTCATTTGTCAGTGGCAGATTCAGTTGGTACTGAAGCCCATATGTTATGGATAAACAGGCATGAGTCAGGGTTTGCTGTACAAAATGCTGGAAGGCACAGCAGTGTCCCCAAGTTCAGTTTCTGCTTTGCTTCCCTCCTTCTACCAAGGTGGAGAGTGGATTCTCAGCATTCAAGCACCTAGGGTTTGAACTACAGTAGGAATCTGTAAAAAGTTCTGTTAACTGGAAAGTGAAAACACAAGGAAATGTTTTTTGGAAAAATGCAGTGCTAAATATATGATTAAATAATCAAAGAAGCCAGGAAAAAAATAACAACAAAAGAAATATCAATAACAAGAACCCAAAAGTTTACCAAATCAGAAAGGAAGAATTAAGAGGTGTCTCTGTTTCCTGAGGACACAACGTTTCATATAAGAAACTTAAAACTCAACTGAAAAACTTTTAGAACAACCTGACAAATAACTTCAGTTTCAAGGTACAAAATCCACAAGTCATCATCAATTCATATCTATGTGCTTCAAATAAACTGCAGCCTGAAATACAAGGAACACCATTCATTTAATAATTCATCGAAAAGAATTAATACTTATGTAAAATTTGAACCAAATTCACCTCTTCTTGGAAAATTGTAGAAATTGAAGCAATGAGTGAAGTGGCACTAAGAGAAGAAAAGACAGACTGTGATGGTGGATGGGAAGAATTCATGTTGTTATAATGTACATGCTACCCACAGCAAGCAGGTGTTCAAATGCCATTCCTGTCAAAATCTCAAAATATCAGTGCCATTTTCCTAGAAATAGAAAAACAATATGAAAATTCAGATGGAAGGACAAAGAGTCTATCCTATAGCCATGGAAAAAATATTAAAGTTAGAGACAACAAAATACAGAGTTTTCTGGTATATAATAAAGTGACGACAGTCGAAAGGGTCCTATACTGCGAGAACTGCACCACAGATTAGAAAGGCCAGCCCAGTAGAGACCAACTCATACAGTCGCCCGGAATTTTGTTTTGTTTCTCCCTTTTCCTTCCCTTCCCTCCCATCCCCCTTCCCCTCTGCTTTCCTTCATTTCCCTTTCCTTTAGTTTTCTTTCTTTTTCTTTTTCAGTTTTTGGTCAAGTTCTTCCTGTGTAGCTCTGGCCTAAGCTGAACTCAGAGTGTGTTGCAGGCTTGTCTGGAACTCCCAGGAATCCTGCTGCCTCAGCCTCCTGAGTGCAGGCTTTGCAGGCATTTTCAACGTTCCATGCTTAGCCAATGAATTTTAAACAACACTATGATGAAACCAGGTCTGGTGGTGTGGCTTGTAATGCGAGCAATCTGGAAGGCTGAGGCAGCAACATCACAAATTTAAGGACAGGCTCAGGAATATAGCCACTTATCCAGAATCTGGATGAAAATAAAAAGAATTTTAAATGTGGAAAACCATGGAGCTAAGTGAAAATCTCAGTATACAATCCATAGAAACTGAGTGCAAAACAAAAAAACTTGGAAAGTCCAATGGTAGAAAAAATAATATTTTACACTGTCCTGGCCTTCTGGAGAGCAGTGTGCCCCAAATGGCATTAGCTTTCACACTTTTCTTGTGGTTTCACGTCAAACAATCATTAAAATCCATGAGGGATTAAAAAAAAAAACCAGAATGTGCTTCAAGGACACCAAGCCTCAATACCAGTGCAGAAGGCATTTGCAGTGACATTCTGAAGTGCATGATGACCACAGTTACAAAACAGAGAATCTCCAAACAGTGTTAATGGGATTTTCAATCCTACTTACTTTGAAAAAAACTGCCAGTTAGGAAGTTGGTACATAGCTTAACTAGATATACTCTCTCTGCAAAGTGTATAAGATCAAAGCCAAGTATTTCATTCTATGAATGCACAAAATTTTTGCTGATTATCAACTCAAGATAATACTTGCAATCCTAGCACTCCGGGAGAGGGAGGGAGATTGAATAAGGAAAGGTTTAAGCCTGGCCTGGGAAACCCACAATCTTAGTGAGATCATGCGTTAAAATTTGTAAAAAACATTAACACATTTTACAAATGTATGGAAATATAGATCATTAAGAAATCATTGTGCACAATACAGTAGCCAATGTTATTCTCTCATTATTCTTCTGTATTTTATCCTTCTATAGACTTAACAATAGCATCTTTTATGTGGTCCTTATTAATATGTACTTGAGTTACATTAAAATAAGAAAGTTAATTAAAATAGAAAGTCTTTTCAAAAAACAGTAATCCTTTGCTCAAATCCTACTTCCATATATAAAGTTAGTACAAAAATAAAAAGAACCATCAAATTCTCTTTATACTAAGCTCTCCAAATCCTAAGAGTATATATTCAGTAGCATATCTACATTCATCTCAGTTAAAAGGTCAAAAAAGTTGAAACAGTTCAACTTCTTGGCAGTAGATCAATGCCTACCTCATGGTAAATATAATGCTCAGTGTGCTGACTGAAGTACATATGTAAGAAAAATTCACCAAGATTTGATTTGTCGAGTTATAGATGGTATTTGTGTCTTTTTAAACCTTTTAAATGTATTTTTTATTTTGATTTATTTATTTATTTTTGAGACAGGATTTTGCTATGAAGTTTAGGCTTTCATTGAACTCACATTGTAGCACAGGCTGACCTCAACTCACAGCAATCTTGCTGCCTCAGCCTTGCAACTTCTGACATTAGAGATGTTCACTACCAAACCTGGCTCTCGTTTACTTTTTAAATTTTTTCCAAAATTAAATTACCCAGGATTATGTGACATTCTCATAGTTTATTGGGTGAGTTATACAAAATGAAATCAGAAAGCACTGAAAATGCACTGAAGGAAATTCAAACTCTTCACCTGTTGGGAGCCGCAGCCCCGAGCCCGGTCGCCTCACTTGGCGGACGTGAGGCCTGTAGTAAAGAGTAAAGCCTGAGGTAGATTACCCCTCCCATCGAGCACGTTAGTTTCCTGCTTACCGCGTAAGCAACCCGCTCAACAATATAGTCTGCCTGGCAACTGATGATGTTAGCCAATCAGCTTGCCTTGCTTACTTTAACATGATTGGACACTGTACCCGTATATATACCGGTGCCACCCCTGGGCGGAAGAAGAAGCCAGGTAGAAGCCCGGAAGTAGAAGCCCAGAAGGAGCCGCGGAGAGCGGACCGGTAGAGGCTTTGGGGCAGACTGAAGCACAAAAGGAGCCGCGGGGAGCGGACCAGAGGAGGCTTCGGCTGGGAGCGATCCCAGGGCAGGCTGTACGGAGAAGAAAAATAAAAAGAAAAGGTTGTCCACTACCAGACTTTGTCGTGTGTCCTTCCTGCCGGCCGGGAGCAGACATCGACATTTGGTGGCCCGTACGGGGACTGATCACCCCCGAGACGTGGAAGTGGACAACGCTCCAGTACAGAGCTGCGAGACAGGTGAGTTGGGGATAAGCCTGGGCTCTGGGTGGCGCGCACCTACAGGGCTTTTAGACTCCCCTCAGGCTCACGCGTAAGTGGCGGATTCCTTGGGCCTCACGCGGTGAGTAACATATTAAAAGATGGGAAACATGTTAGGTAGCAACACTAAGAGCGAGGGTGGTTGTGGAGAAAGCTCTCAAGAGCTTACAAAAGTACGCAGGGTATCTGAGCAGGCCCAGTCAGGGAGCTCCCGAGAGGGGTCCGTCAAGGGGAACAAGGATGCTAAGGAGGAGGACGGGGCTCTAGCCTCGGAGTCGTCTGACTCCGAGGACGAGGGAAAGTTGAATGGCAAGGAGGCCAAAGAGACCAGCTGTCAGGAGCCTAAATCGCTCAATAAGGAGTCACAGGGTTCTTTTCCAGCGTTGCCCCGCGAATTGCGCTCTGCTCAACCTGGTCTGCGGAGGAGTAGAGAGCTCCTGAGCGCTCCCCGGCGCGCGCGAGAGGGAGGCGAAGCCTTCCGCCCCACCTTGGGGGCCGTTTCCAGAGGCGATTCCTCGCCACGAGGCGGCCGCCTGGGAGCTCTCTCCCCTTTCGCCAGAACAGGAAGTGATGCACGGGCCCCCATTTTCCGCCCAATCACGGCCGCCGTCTTATGCTCCGCCGCCGGCGGGTCGGTATTTTTACAGGCGGCTTTGGCAGGGGGGACGCTTGTCTCATGAGGTACATCCACCTGGGATAGATAGTGGCCCCTACGGGATATTTCCTGTACAAGTAGCTATGGGCCAGGGACGCAATGTATGGGAGCCTTTTGAGATAAAGCAGATTAGAGAACTTAAAAATGCAGTTACAACCTTTGGGCCGACTGCGCCTTACACCATTGCCATGCTGGAGAATCTGTCTTCTGGGCCCCTCACCCCCGCGGACTGGATTCAGCTGGCAAAGGCGTGTCTGCCCTCGGGCAGTTGCCTGGATTGGCGAGCCTGGTACGCAGAGTTCTCTGCAGAGCAGGCTGAGAGAAACGCCAATCGGGGAAACCGGGGGTGGAACAAGGAAATGCTTATGGGAAAAGGTCGGCACGCTGATGACCAGACCCAGTTCCCCGGCGCTCTCTGGCGGGGAGGAGATAGAGAGCCATCCGCTCCGCCCTGGAGCTCTTCTCCAGAAGCAGCTCCCCACCGAGAGGCCGCTACAGGGAACCCTCCCTTCTCTCAGCCGGCACAGGAAGTGACGCCCCGTTCCACTCTGTCGCGACCGCCGTCCTATGATTTTCATGGGCGGCTACTCTGCCGAGCAGGCTGAGAAAAACGCCGGTCGAGGAAATGGGGGCTGGGGATTTAGCTCAGCGGCAAAAGTGCCTGCTTTGCAAGCACGCAGTTGTGAGTTCGGTCCCTGGTACCGGTAAAAAGGAAAAAGACAAAAAAAAAAAAAAAAAAAACGAAAAAGATAAAAATAAAAAATAAAAAATAAAAAACAAAAAGGGGGAGTAAGCCAAGGCCTGCCTCCAAAGGCGCGGTTATCTATGGCAGGACAATGGATGGGCCCGGATCCAATGGTCAGCTGGAACCGAGGCGCGGTTTGTGTTTTCCCACAGGAACCGGGACGAGAACCACTGTGGATACCGGAGAGACTGACACGGGCAACAAAGCCCTCGACTGAAGATCAGACCTGCCCTACTGGAGATCCATCACAGACCAACCAATAAGATGAATAGAAATAGCGGTAGCCCGAAATGGACAAGAAGATCCTCAGGCATATGCATGGCTTGCTCAATTGGCCCACGACCGAGTCTAGATATGGCGGGCATCCCTCATTCTCCTCCATAAGGTGACAATACACAGCAGGGTAGGTGAGTCAATGACGGGTAAGAGCGTGCCTCCCCAGCACGACTCGACCTAAGCCAGGCCCTACCCCATCCTGCACGTAAGCCGCTGGACTGTTAGATGCTGCCCAGGTCTAAATTTCTCTCCGAGGGGATTTCTTTACGAAGAGGAAATGAGTGCAAGCTTGTGTGCATCCAGGTTCCGTCCAGTTTGTGCCTGGCCCTAGAAAAAGGACGAGGGCCTCAGGGCCTTGGCAGACCATGGGACGGCCGACCAGGGTCTAAGCCAAGGACCTACGGTGAGCCTACGCATAGGGCATAAGCCTCTGCACCCAGTCCAGAAAGGGCTACGATGCGCACATTCATAAAAAATAAAAAAGGGGGAGATGTTGGGAGCCGCAGCCCCGAGCCGGGTCGCCTCACTTGGCGGACGTGAGGCCTGTAGTAAAGAGTAAAGCCTGAGGTAGATTACCCCTCCCATCGAGCACGTTAGTTTCCTGCTTACCGCGTAAGCAACCCGCTCAACAATATAGTCTGCCTGGCAACTGATGATGTTAGCCAATCAGCTTGCCTTGCTTACTTTAACATGATTGGACACTGTACCCGTATATATACCGGTGCC